ACGTTACATAGAAGTAAAAAGGGTGAGGGGGGGGGGGTCCACATTATGAAATAATTTTCTCTAGTAGCCTACACAATGACCACAATTATTGGTACCCCTAGAAATTCTTATGATTAAAATATCTCTGAAATATATTCCTATTTGCATTTTTTTTTTATCACACCAGGGTGACAGGGAACATGAAATTATCCAGCCATGGCTTCCTGTTTCACAAGAATATAAATATGAGGGAACACAAAGGCCAAATTCCATTAATCATTGATCACAATGAGTAAAATCAAAGAATATATTTCTGATGTGCATCAAAACATTGTTGAACTTCACATATTAGAAAGTAACTGTAAGAAAAAAGCTAAAGTGTTGAAAATTCTCATTTCCACCATCGGGGCAATAATTAAAAAATTCCAATCAACTAAACATGTTACAAATTTGCCTGGAAGAGGATGCATATTTATTGTCTTAAAGCAACGTGAGGAGGATAGTTTGAAAAATAGTTGATAGTAGGAAAATAGTTGAGTCTCAAGGTCAGAAAGCCTCAAACAAATTTATCAAAATGCACCTACATCATTACATGTTGTTTCGAGGGTTTCAAGAAAAATCAAGAAAAGAAAATGCTCTCATTCAAAAAAGCACTAACATTGACCTGGAAATCAGAAGGGCCTGGATGAAGGAATGTCTCTGATCTCTTGTCAGATGTTCTCGAAACGCTTTTATGAGTGAAGACGAACGGAGGTTGCAAAAAGTATTGAATAAAGGGTATGATTAATTGTGGCCAATGTGTATTAAAACAAAATATTTATTTCATAATGATATTTTCACCCTTTTCTCCAATGAAAGGTTAGATTATTGTTTTGTTTTTTTTAAATAAAAGATCAAAAGGATTACCGATGCAGATTTGTTTTCACAGACTTTACATTTTTTTTTCTATTTTTACCATATTTACCAAGCAGTGAATACTTTCACTTTCATTTTGAATTCGGAAAAAGTCCCCACAAAATTAAAACCAAAAGGTCCACAAAACAAACCATCGAATAGTTTTTAGCCGTCGAAAATTATTTATGAATATAAACACTTATGAAGAGTTTTGAAAGTGTATCTTGTGAAATTTCATATGTGACAATAGACGGTGTTGCATAACCACATTTGTAAAAACAGCGTCATTATTTCTACTCGAAAGCATAATGCCACACAGACATAAACACTAGCTTTACCAACTGTAAAATCAAGAACTAGACACTCAACAGAAAAAGTCTCACCAAAGAAAGAAACGGCCTATTCCTCCTGTCCGCCCAGCCCCACAAAATATTTATTTCATAATGATATTTTCACCCTTTTCTCCAATGAAAGGTTAGATTATTGTTTTTTTTTTTTTTTTATAAAAGATCAAAAGGATTACCGATGCAGATTTGTTTTCACAGACTTTAAAAAATTTTTTCTATTTTTACCATATTTACCAAGCAGTGAATACTTTCACTTTCATTTTGAATTCGGAAAAAGTCCCCACAAAATTAAAACCAAAAGGTCCAAAAAACAAACCATCGAATAGTTTTTAGCCTTCGAAAATTATTTATGAATATAAACACTTATGAAGAGTTTTGAAAGTGTATCTTGTGAAATTTCATATGTGACAATAGACGGTGTTGCATAACCACATTTTCAAAAACAGCGTCATTATTTCTACTCGAAAGCATAATGCCACACAGACATAAACACTAGCTTTACCAACTGTAAAATCAAGAACTAGACACTCAACAGAAAAAAAAGTCTCACCAAAGAAAGAAACGGCCTATTCCTCCTGTCCGCCCAGCCCCAGAGCATATTCTGTATAAAAACATGGACGTAGTGTCCGTGACGTCACCTGTAGAATTCCGAAGAGCCTTTATGAAGCCCAAAGTGGGCGGAGCCAGCCGTTGGCGTCTTTGCAGCGCGTCACTCCCGGATAATCGAAAATGGGCAGAGGCGGGAGCAGGTTGCTGAAACCACGCCCACCTAGCTCGAAGGCAGTCAGCAGCGGCAATCCACCTGTCACTCAAATGGCCACGCCCTTAATTATGCAGAATTTTAAGGCTTAATATAATTTAAACGGATGAGTTATAAAAAAAATTCACCCACCTTACAGTTGTCATGAAGGACAAAATTGGCTATATAGACCGAAATAATTAAATTATTTACACCCTTGGTAAATAAATGATCAAAGAAGGCTGTGAAAATAAGTCTGCATTGTTTATCAATTTGATCTTTTATTCAAAAATGTCAAAAAGAGAAAATAATAATAATCTAACGTTCAATAGACGTAAAAAAAGTGAGGGGGGGGGGGGCCACATTATGAAATAATTTTCTCTAGTAGCCTACACAATGACCACAATTATTGGTACCCCTAGAAATTCTTATGATTAAAATATCTCTGAAATATATTCCTATTTGCATTTTTTTTTTATCACACCAGGGTGACAGGGAACATGAAATTATCCAGCCATGGCTTCCTGTTTCACAAGAATATAAATATGAGGGAACACAAAGGCCAAATTCCATTAATCATTGATCACAATGAGTAAAATCAAAGAATATATTTCTGATGTGCATCAAAACATTGTTGAACTTCACATATTAGAAAGTAACTGTAAGAAAAAAGCTAAAGTGTTGAAAATTCTCATTTCCACCATCGGGGCAATAATTAAAAAATTCCAATCAACTAAACATGTTACAAATTTGCCTGGAAGAGGATGCATATTTATTGTCTTAAAGCAACGTGAGGAGGATAGTTTGAAAAATAGTTGATAGTAGGAAAATAGTTGAGTCTCAAGGTCAGAAAGCCTCAAACAAATTTATCAAAATGCACCTACATCATTACATGTTGTTTCGAGGGTTTCAAGAAAAATCAAGAAAAGAAAATGCTCTCATTCAAAAAAGCACTAACATTGACCTGGAAATCAGAAGGGCCTGGATGAAGGAATGTCTCTGATCTCTTGTCAGATGTTCTCGAAACGCTTTTATGAGTGAAGACGAACGGAGGTTGCAAAAAGTATTGAATAAAGGGTATGATTAATTGTGGCCAATGTGTATTAAAACAAAATATTTATTTCATAATGATATTTTCACCCTTTTCTCCAATGAAAGGTTAGATTATTGTTTTGTTTTTTTTAAATAAAAGATCAAAAGGATTACCGATGCAGATTTGTTTTCACAGACTTTACATTTTTTTTTCTATTTTTACCATATTTACCAAGCAGTGAATACTTTCACTTTCATTTTGAATTCGGAAAAAGTCCCCACAAAATTAAAACCAAAAGGTCCAAAAAACAAACCATCGAATAGTTTTTAGCCGTCGAAAATTATTTATGAATATAAACACTTATGAAGAGTTTTGAAAGTGTATCTTGTGAAATTTCATATGTGACAATAGACGGTGTTGCATAACCACATTTGTAAAAACAGCGTCATTATTTCTACTCGAAAGCATAATGCCACACAGACATAAACACTAGCTTTACCAACTGTAAAATCAAGAACTAGACACTCAACAGAAAAAGTCTCACCAAAGAAAGAAACGGCCTATTCCTCCTGTCCGCCCAGCCCCAGAGCATAGACTGTATAAAAACATGGACGTAGTGTCCGTGACGTCACCTGTAGAATTCCGAAGAGCCTTTCTGAAGCCCAAAGTGGGCGGAGCCAGCCGTCGGCGTCTTTGCAGCGCGTCACCGCGCGTCACTCCCGGATAATCGAAAATGGGCAGAGGCGGGAGCAGGTTGCTGAAACCACGCCCACCTAGCTCGAAGGCAGTCAGCAGCGGCAATCCACCTGTCACTCAAATGGCCACGCCCTTAATTATGCAGAATTTTAAGGCTTAATATAATTTCAACGGATGAGTTATAAAAAAAATTCACCCACCTCACAGTTGTCATGAAGGGCAAAATTGGCTATATAGACCGAAATAATTTTTTGAACCAGATTGTAAACGTTTTTTTCTGCTGTAAAGTTGGGCATTTTAACATGGGGAGTCTATGGGATTGACTCCCTTTTGCAGCCAGCCTCTAGCGGCCAGATGATGAATTACAGTTTAAGTCACTTCCTTGTTGGCTTCACGAGAGAGAGCGGGAGGTTGCCGCTTGCCCCAGAGTTAGTGATGGCAGCTTCTTCTTTTTTGGATGCTTCTCAAACGGAAGGCAGCATATCTCGGCTGCCACGTCATCAAACGTCGCTGAAGGCCGTCTCAATCGCTAGGATTCTTGGAAGGACGCAAGGAAAAGACGGGAGGACGGAGGAGGTGAATCAAGTGAAATGATATGCCCTCGCTCCCTTTAGCGTCACTTCAAAGCATCATCAGCTGCGCTAAAGGGATCTGCCCTTATGTTGTTAAAGTTTGTTAATAAATATTAATAAAGCAAGATGCCGTTTGAAATATATGACATGTATGGTTTATTTAAACTGCAAAGGTAAAATATAAATTAAAATGATTACAACAGATGTGAAGGGGGAGGATGTATACGTGCGTCAGGTTTTTCGATGAAAAACACCCGTGTATCCTCGCTCATAGCTCCTCGATCGGTTTCCGGGTCATAGGATGGAGGGCAGAGGAGCGAGGATATTGAGAATCACCCTTCGTTTCGCGTTCTTCATTCAGCTGAATTTGAAGGATGCATGGGATGTAGGGCAGGCCTATCCTCCGCGACCTTATGGTTTCGTTGTAAGGCTATCGTCTTCAAAAACGCGTTCCCGCGACGGGTGCTTTTCTCGGCACAACACCAGCAGCTTCAGTGAAGCGCGCATCGACAGTGTTGGGGGAAACTCATTACAAGTAACGCGAGTTACGTTATCGGATTACTTTTGTCAATTATAAAGTAACGTATTACTTTTTTTAATTTACAAGAAAATATCTGAGTTACTTTTTCAAAAAAGTAATGCCAGTTACTTTGTTTTCCCATTTATTGACTGACAAGTCTCCTGTCCCCATATTGGGAGAAGAGAAAATGAGTCGAGACATTAGCGGTTGATCCCAGACTAATGGATCAGGCCTCTTTTGTCAATCACCGCCTATTCGAACTACCTTGTAATAAACACAACATAATAAACCAATTGATTAATTGACAATTTCCCCATTACATTTCCACCTCTTCCAAACACAATTAATGTTAAAACGAAATTACTTTACATTAAACAAATGATTGAACAAAATGAAATATGGCTTTGCATATTGAACAGAATTATGACCGTATTAACTTTGTCTTAATGTTAATGCCTGCTGGGTAGTGTAATTAATACTATTAAATACTACCTGTTACATACAGACGTGAATTTACTTTTGCTTCAGCCTGAGGTTTATTCATTACACTTTTTGGTGTGAAAGGGCTTTTACATTTGCTATAAATAGAACTTTTATATTAAAATCAATCAAGCCCTGCTCATATTTAAAAAGTAACATGAAAGTAACGCAAAAGTAATATAACGCATTGCTTTCCATAAAAAGTAACCAAGTAACGTAATTAGTTACTTTTTTAGGGAGTAATGCAATATTGTAATGCATTACTTTTAAAAGTAACTTTCCCCAACACTGTGCATCGAGGCTTGTATGCTTTATTCAGGAAGCGGTTCAAATCTTGTAAATTCATACTCTTCTTCCCTGTTAAACCCAGCCACTTTCCAGTTTTAGACTAATAATATTGCCACTCCTGCCTATTATGAGCAAAGACTTGATTTACACACATTTGATAACCCCATTAATTTCAAACCAATGCGTTTATTACACAGTTATGTTATCCAATCATTATATACCAATAGAAAATACACATTATATTCATATAAATAGATTAGTCTATGTGGAAATTGATTTTTTTCTTCACCGTTATTCCTAAGCCTTAATTGGCACAACATGCAGTGTATCACAAATCACATCAGGACCTCTGTAATGTATCTGCTTGTTTTATACTCTTTGGCCACCAGGTGGTATTGTGAGCAAATGAAGCCTCGAGAAATGAACCCTTTTGTGAACCACTTGGTTGAAAAGCTTCAATGCTTCATCTCGCCATCACTACTTTGTACTCGTTCCATTTCATGAAAATAAACGGACGATAAACGAGTCAGTACTGACCAGACTGTTGTTGTTGTTTTTTAAAAATGCTTTTTAATTCAATTCCACAAGAACATGAGGTATTGCGAGAGTCAATGTAATGGAAAGTGTGACATCTGGTGGTGAATAAACGGAAGTCCATGAACCGAATTCGTGACAATTACATATTCACATTATCAAATTGACATTATTAGTTGCCAGAGAAAAAAAAGAAAAGAAAAAAGGAAGAAAATTACATAAAGTTCAATGCTTTCAGAGCATTACATGTTTTCAATGCTTTTTTGTTTTTTGTTTGTTCTAAGAGATTTACATATAATTTAAAGTCATTTATAAAATGTGCAAAACTAGGTTTACATTGAGCCCACTTCTTATGTATATGGAATTTTCCTAACAAAATAAACAAATGTATAATATGTTGTTCTTTACTATTCAAATTTTCGTTTTCTGTATAAAAAAGTATATCAAATAGGCCTATACAAATGTCTATACACTCCATTTTTCTGTTAATATAGAATTCCAAATCCTTCCAAAATAATCTCGAGTAAATACAATGAAAAAAAAAGATGCAAAATAGTTTATTTTTCTTGACCACAAAATTCACAGGTATACGAAATATTAAGCTTAAATCTTTCCAAAACATGCTTAGCAGGATAAATTCTATGAAGTATTTTGTAAGACACTTCCTTAATTTTGTTATTGATACAAAACTTATTTGGCAGTTTCCATGCTTTAACCCAAGAGATATTACCAAATAAAGAAGACCAAAAAAAGGTAAGGACACAGAA